CCACCTCTCTGTATCGCTCTCACTACACCCACTCCCTCTCCCTCTTTCTCCACAGAAACACAACCAGTCGCAAATCAGTCAGAAAGCACTGCGTCAGCTGGCACTGATCAACAGTTGACTACCACGCCTCAATTCCTGTCAGAAACACCAGGTGAGTGAGTTCATTTTTCACCCAACACTCGCCCTCTCCACTCCCATCAATCCACCAACTCAGCCTTCATAATCCATCCAGCAGTATGCATCAACCAACATCCACTTCACTCGGCCCATCACACAAACAAACAAACACAACAGCCTACACACGAACAAACGAACAACGCAAAAGCAAATATCAAGCTAGCCAACTAACCAACATATCAAACAACCAACCAAACAAAACAATCAACCAACTAACCAAACAACCAACTAACTCACGAACTAACTGACTAACTGGCAATGATAACCAACAGAAATTCACGGAAACACAGCGAAATTGCTGAATTCCAATGTGAAATGCTCACAGAGACACACTCATACCGACACAATACACCACATCACAACACAGGGCCACACAACACGCAACAACCCAACAGTACACAAAACAACACAACAAACCTCAAAACGCTCTCTCACATACATATACACAAGGCGATACGAGACAACACAACACAACACAGCACAACACAAAACATTCCTCGAAAATCACCAGTCAACATCACTGATCATTCAGAGTTGATAATGTCGCTAACCCCTTCCACCAATTGTGCATCATTCACATCAAAACATTCTCCTCCACCTCTCTGTATCGCTCTCACTACACCCACTCCCTCTCCCTCTTTCTCCACAGAAACACAACCAGTCGCAAATCAGTCAGAAAGCACTGCGTCAGCTGGCACTGATCAACAGTTGACTACCACGCCTCAATTCCTGTCAGAAACACCAGGTGAGTGAGTTCATTTTTCACCCAACACTCGCCCTCTCCACTCCCATCAATCCACCAACTCAGCCTTCATAATCCATCCAGCAGTATGCATCAACCAACATCCACTTCACTCGGCCTATCACACAAACAAACAAACACAACAGCCTACACACGAACAAACGAACAACGCAAAAGCAAATATCAAGCTAGCCAACTAACCAACATATCAAACAACCGACCAAATAAACAAACAATCAACCAACTAACCAAACAACCAACTAACTCACGAACTAACTGACTAACTGGCAATGATAACCAACAGAAATTCACGGAAACACAGCGAAATTGCTGAATTCCAATGTGAAATGCTCACAGAGACACACTCATACCGACACAATACACCACATCACAACACAGGGCCACACAACACGCAACAACCCAACAGTACACAAAACAACACAACAAACCTCAAAACGCTCTCTCACATACATATACACAAGGCGATACGAGACAACACAACACAACACAGCACAACACAAAACATTCCTCGAAAATCACCAGTCAACATCACTGATCATTCAGAGTTGATAATGTCGCTAACCCCTTCCACCAATTGTGCATCATTCACATCAAAACATTCTCCTCCACCTCTCTGTATCGCTCTCACTACACCCACTCCCTCTCCCTCTTTCTCCACAGAAACACAACCAGTCGCAAATCAGTCAGAAAGCACTGCGTCAGCTGGCACTGATCAACAGTTGACTACCACGCCTCAATTCCTGTCAGAAACACCAGGTGAGTGAGTTCATTTTTCACCCAACACTCGCCCTCTCCACTCCCATCAATCCACCAACTCAGCCTTCATAATCCATCCAGCAGTATGCATCAACCAACATCCACTTCACTCGGCCCATCACACAAACAAACAAACACAACAGCCTACACACGAACAAACGAACAACGCAAAAGCAAATATCAAGCTAGCCAACTAACCAACATATCAAACAACCAACCAAACAAACAAACAATCAACCAACTAACCAAACAACCAACTAACTCACGAACTAACTGACTAACTGGCAATGATAACCAACAGAAATTCACGGAAACACAGCGAAATTGCTGAATTCCAATGTGAAATGCTCACAGAGACACACTCATACCGACACAATACACCACATCACAACGCAGGGCCACACAACACGCAACAACCCAACAGTACACAAAACAACACAACAAACCTCAAAACGCTCTCTCACATACATATACACAAGGCGATACGAGACAACACAACACAACACAGCACAACACAAAACATTCCTCGAAAATCACCAGTCAACATCACTGATCATTCAGAGTTGATAATGTCGCTAACCCCTTCCACCAATTGTGCATCATTCACATCAAAACATTCTCCTCCACCTCTCTGTATCGCTCTCACTACACCCACTCCCTCTCCCTCTTTCTCCACAGAAACACAACCAGTCGCAAATCAGTCAGAAAGCACTGCGTCAGCTGGCACTGATCAACAGTTGACTACCACGCCTCAATTCCTGTCAGAAACACCAGGTGAGTGAGTTCATTTTTCACCCAACACTCGCCCTCTCCACTCCCATCAATCCACCAACTCAGCCTTCATAATCCATCCAGCAGTATGCATCAACCAACATCCACTTCACTCGGCCCATCACACAAACAAACAAACACAACAGCCTACACACGAACAAACGAACAACGCAAAAGCAAATATCAAGCTAGCCAACTAACCAACATATCAAACAACCAACCAAACAAAAACAATCAACCAACTAACCAAACAACCAACTAACTCACGAACTAACTGACTAACTGGCAATGATAACCAACAGAAATTCACGGAAACACAGCGAAATTGCTGAATTCCAATGTGAAATGCTCACAGAGACACACTCATACCGACACAATACACCACATCACAACGCAGGGCCACACAACACGCAACAACCCAACAGTACACAAAACAACACAACAAACCTCAAAACGCTCTCTCACATACATATACACAAGGCGATACGAGACAACACAACACAACACAGCACAACACAAAACATTCCTCGAAAATCACCAGTCAACATCACTGATCATTCAGAGTTGATAATGTCGCTAACCCCTTCCACCAATTGTGCATCATTCACATCAAAACATTCTCCTCCACCTCTCTGTATCGCTCTCACTACACCCACTCCCTCTCCCTCTTTCTCCACAGAAACACAACCAGTCGCAAATCAGTCAGAAAGCACTGCGTCAGCTGGCACTGATCAACAGTTGACTACCACGCCTCAATTCCTGTCAGAAACACCAGGTGAGTGAGTTCATTTTTCACCCAACACTCGCCCTCTCCACTCCCATCAATCCACCAACTCAGCCTTCATAATCCATCCAGCAGTATGCATCAACCAACATCCACTTCACTCGGCCTATCACACAAACAAACAAACACAACAGCCTACACACGAACAAACGAACAACGCAAAAGCAAATATCAAGCTAGCCAACTAACCAACATATCAAACAACCGACCAAACAAACAAACAATCAACCAACTAACCAAACAACCAACTAACTCACGAACTAACTGACTAACTGGCAATGATAACCAACAGAAATTCACGGAAACACAGCGAAATTGCTGAATTCCAATGTGAAATGCTCACAGAGACACACTCATACCGACACAATACACCACATCACAACACAGGGCCACACAACACGCAACAACCCAACAGTACACAAAACAACACAACAAACCTCAAAACGCTCTCTCACATACATATACACAAGGCGATACGAGACAACACAACACAACACAGCACAACACAAAACATTCCTCGAAAATCACCAGTCAACATCACTGATCATTCAGAGTTGATAATGTCGCTAACCCCTTCCACCAATTGTGCATCATTCACATCAAAACATTCTCCTCCACCTCTCTGTATCGCTCTCACTACACCCACTCCCTCTCCCTCTTTCTCCACAGAAACACAACCAGTCGCAAATCAGTCAGAAAGCACTGCGTCAGCTGGCACTGATCAACAGTTGACTACCACGCCTCAATTCCTGTCAGAAACACCAGGTGAGTGAGTTCATTTTTCACCCAACACTCGCCGTCTCCACTGCTATCCATCCTATATATCCGGCGTCGTATGCTTTTCTGTATGATTCTTCATTTTTCATCTTCTACATTCTTCTTTTCCGCCTTTTCTTTGTTTTCTTTTCCATTTTTTGCTTCTATTCTCTTTTTTATTTCTTTTTTTTTGTTTATTGCAATGTTTCTTCATATTTGTTTGTCGTTTTTCATATCAATTTTTCGTTAACAATTTGTTTGTTTCATTTGATTTTCTCTTTGTCTCCGTTCTCCTGAAGGTTCTGTTTGTTTGGTTTTTATCTTTTATATTTTGATAAACTGGTGCTTCCTCACTTATTCACTATTATATAATATTGTAGTAGTCTATATTACAGTTAACTTTCATTTATTTTTTTTTATTTAGTATATTTATATAGGCTTTGTATGCTGTGCAATCACAAATCGCGTTAGGAGTGGGCTATTAGGTTTGAAATAACATACTAGTTTCATCTTGTTGGTCGTTAATTTGCTGAAGTAGAATTCAGTTTCTGCTGATTTTAGGCATGGAGGCGATTGAGATGACAAAACTGATTGTTGTTTCTGTTCTGTTGTTTCAATGTGATATCAGTGCTTAAATAGCATTTCACTCACTGCCTTTACATCTGAAGTATAGAATTATTCCTCAAGTTACATTTTCATTCGTTTCTGCAAAATGCGTACCGGTAGTTAGTAAGTCAATGCAAAATATGTGTACGAGCATTTTGTGAATCCAAGACATAAGTGATTGGTTAAGACAATAAAAATTAGAGAAATTAAGATGCACTGTGTAAGGTGGATTTTCATTCAGGCCAGAGATTCATGCGAAACGTCTCATTCAATGATCCGTGTGCATTTTCCTTTTTAAACTAACTTGCTTTCTCAGTCAGTGAAACTTTGGATGGTTGTGATTGGTCGGTTTTTTATAACTGCAATTTTCATCCATTTCATTTTTAGATGGTGCTGACAAGTTTATTAATTACTGTAAGAATTTGCCACACTTTGTTTCAGTGATCTTCTCTTCCATGCAATAGGCTTTTTACTGACAGACTATTGATAGATGTTGGAAACGGTTTTGTGGAATGTCTCATTTTTGGTTTGCAAAAATATGTTTGATCCTAAATGGTGTGGTGGAATGTTGGCTTCATTTCCGCAAATCAGATTTTCAATCTGCTACCTACTTTCCAGCACGATTTTATTCTATATGTCGTTTAGTTTTTGTACACAAGGGTTTGTGACGACATTTTATGGTGTATACCTCACCTTCTACCTGTGGCAGTAATAGTCCTCAGTTTACAAAAGCCACTGGTGGCAGATTTTCCGCAGTTTTATGAGTAATCCTCGTAAAGACATCTCAGTACATTCAACTGATTGTCCATTGTAAATGTGAAGCTTTGATTCCCATCGAACTATAGCATACATTGTTACCATTGCCGCATGCTGAAAATCATTCATTCATGGAGCGAATTTCAACGAAACTCAGAACAAAATTCTTGTATTGTTGAAGAATGAATATCGCCATGATTATTTACGGAGGAGTAGGGATCTTCGGACAAGACTGAATAAGCAAGAGCAGTTTTACTTCGTAGCGGTTGATCGCATTATGAGAAAAGTATAACTTCCGATTAGGGAGATTTTTGTTGTTAGTTTGTGGACTTCTGAAATAGTTGACTCCGCGAGCAATCTGACTTCCTATATCACGTCTTCAGCAAGAAGCAGTTATTCCGCATTGTAATTCACCATGAGGTGAAAGTTTATATTTATATGTATGTTCTACTTGGTAAATTATGAAGAGTTTATCTAGTAGCTTGAGGGAAATATTTTTTTCATTTCAGATGATCCGAATTCAACACTAGACGCATACGCAGATTCATACCGCCAAGTTGTGAATAATAAATGTAGGTGATTATTTCACCGAAAATTAATTTAAGGTTGTCTGTTCAGACTGTTCTGTTATGATTGGTGTTAATTACCTGTTACTACTCATATCGCTTGACCTGATTCGTAGACGACTAATCAACTAATTCAAACACTGACAATACTGAGAAGCTCTTAAAAAAATCTTCTTCTTCTGCGTCAAAATTCGAGGAGACGTATTTCTCATGTCAGCAGATGTATGTAATGTCACCTTATTGTAATAACTTGCAAATCGTTATTGTGAAGTAGAGCGAAAAATCGGTGCTTCAACGTGAGTGATACTGCTACATCTTTTTCAAGGAACTTGATAATCTTCAGGAGAATACTTTGCATCTATGTGGATATTACAGACTGGGATGGAGTGAATAGCAGTTGGAAAGTAATTGTAATAAGATGGAAAGGCCCAATCACTTGGTACTGGTTATCAGCGGATTGTGCGATGAATAATTACATTTATCTGCAGGTGTATCAGTAATGCAAGATATACATTCACACTTCATGAATAATTAGATACACAAAGGTAGAAAGCCTACAGGTCGACATTTAGTCTTTCAGGACTTTTAGTCAAGCATTAAATAATCCACACACTCAACACTTATTTCCACCATTTTGTTTGTTTCAGTTCACATGATTGAAATTCAGACTTATAAAGATCCCCATAATGTCGAAGAAACAATAAAACCTGGTGAGTAATTTTATCGAGATGTCTACATAGCTTCATATGAATAACAATGAACGAATCATTCTCACATTGAGTCCTAAGAAAAAGACGTTGACGGCAAAGACAATTTTTTTCGACGATTCATTTTCATAAGCTGTACAATGGTAATTATATTTAACAAACAAATCATAAGACCAGTGGGATACTGGTAAAATTTGTCTCCTTCTAGGTTGCACCTTGCATCACGTATTACTTTTATTCGAGCACACATTTTACCAGTTTCTGGTCGGTCCTATGATTTCCTTGTTAGATATAATTATAGCTTATGAAAAGAATCGTGGAAAAGAAAACTTTCCTAGCCTTTACGTCTTTTTCAAATTATGTCAGGCATGAAAATATATGGTCAGGTCATTTTTTTGATCAATGGTTTATGTTATATTTCAGGCATTCTTATGAATCAAAGATGCACACTTGTGATCCTTTGGAGGATGACTGAGTATACCGTTTGTTCGTTACCTTGTGATGAAGATAAAATGCACCTCTTGGTCTATGCGTGATAACGCCTGTGGTACCAGAACAATGCTGACTAATCCAAATGGTTGAAATAACGTCTGTCTAGAGTGTGGCATGAAACATTTTGTATCGAAAGGGACCCAATCACTTTCCAACTCTTACTGCTGCGCCAACTGCCCTACCTGTAAGGTGATTTGAAGCACATGACTGAAACCCATGATCACACTTGTGGGTGTATTATAAGATAAGAGGTCTAGTGTTGTCTGCTGCTCTCTTAGCCACTCTTAGATTACTTTGCAGATTAATATTATTTTTACTATTATTGTTAGTCTCCTGAGTATCGAGTGGAAAAAAAGACCTCAACTGCACTTCGCCATACCATCCACCTCTCCGTAGTATTTTGTGGCTGACTCTGAAACCGCCCACTTAACTACTATTCTCTGCCCACATAATCGTGACCATGCCTCTGTCGTACCAACGCTAATGTCCTCATGTCCCATTCACGTTCCACTCAACGGATTGGCGAGTGATATCATTCAACGGTCTCCTTAACGCATGTACTATCTACCTCTGTTTCACTTGGCAAATTGTTTGGCAGTAGGTTCATGATTGGGTTGTCTCCAAACTTTCATGATGCTAATATTTTCTGGGCTCCTGTTCTTCAGTACTAGGGCATCAAAGTAAAGTGTTGACAAAAGTCTGCAGCTGCCTGTTGGAAATTCTTTGTCAACACGATAAGCCTCTGAATCATGCAGAAGCATTGGCTTGACTGCACAGCGTGAAGACCCACATCTCTCACCTTATTCTCGGTGGAGTAGACTCGCAAATGGATTTGAAGACAGTGAGGTCCTGTTTTGCTCTTAAAATCTCAGCTGACTGCAAAGTCTTCATCCTCGCCACCACGTGTAGTTGAAATCGTGTTGCCTGGATAAGTGAAAGAAGTGACTTACTTCACATTTCTGCAGTTACCGTTGATTGGCAGATGAGTTGTTCTCATCACTTTTATTTTCTTTAAGGTCACCTGAAGACGTGTTTGGATCCATTTGCAGGTCTTCGGGTTTAAGTGGCACTTGACATAATCCGTCCGCAAAGCTAAAACCTTCTTCAATCTTCTTGTTGCAGCAACCTTTGACCATTATCTTGCTGTTCACGGTCTGTTACAGAAAAGAGTTGGCCAAGACCAGGAATACCACCAGTGATCAGCCTTATTGAGCTTTTCGTTGTGGATGTCTTCATATTCAACATAATTACATAGCACTCCGTAGCTTGCAACGCTGTCGAAATTATTTTCAGAGTCGATGAAGTTGGGGTAGACATTTAATTACAATCCTGTGCTCTCTTCTATAATGAAGCGAAGCGTTGAGACTTGATCTGTACATGAATCGCCTTTTCTTAATGCAACTTGTTACCGTGGGAGTTTTGCAGTCATAGCACCATTCATTCCATCAAGGATGGCAGTAGCTAATAGCTTGCTTGGATTAGGCAGAAGCATGATTCTAGGCCAGTTCTCGCAGACACATATGTCGTCATTCATTGATAGTTTGACAAGGTAGAATGTCCTTCTGACCCCCATGTAACCTTCTTTCAACCAAAACTCTGTGAATCCGTGGCGTGAGTTAATCCGATGGGGTGACTGAAGACTTCCGTCTGGTTATTTTGCTTTTCCGGCTTCCAGTAACATTTTGGTTTTCGAAACATCTCACTTTGTTAGAATATTGGCGTTCATTTGGAATACTGTGCTTGCAGTAGATGACATTTCTGAACGATTTACAGGTGATGGTGTGTTCGACAGTTTACTTCGTTTCTTCTCTTCTATGCCTAGCATACCTTCACCGTGCTTCATTGGTTTCATCTAGGACACCGACGTGTTAAATTCAAGTAGTATTCTGAAGTTTTCCTTCCATGAGACATAATCTACTTCCATTGCTAATATGTCGTTACCTATCCTCTTCTCGTTTTTATGTCCAGTATTCTGAGTCATCATATTCCTGAGATTGAGACGAGGACTTTCTGATATCTGATGTACACAAGTGACAAAACATGTGTCATTTTGTGTATATTGTATTGCTACCTGCAACCAACAACTGACTGAAGGTACAGAAGCATCCACCGTCCGCATATTTTTCACCCAAAACCTCTCCACCTACGACACGTTTCCTTCCTTTCTTGTTTGCTTCCAATTGTCGCATTCTGATGTTGCTAATTGATGTCGTGCACATAACGACTTGCAGTTGTCGATATGATCCCTCCCCCCTTTTGGTTAACCTCGCTTGCAGAAGCATGGCACCAAAAGTCTGGTTTGTTTTAATTGTGTGTGTTGTGTGTTTGTGAGTGAATGAAGGCTAATTTGAATAAAAAACAACCAGTAAACAATTTCGGTTGTCTTCGCTGGAGGATAGTGGGACTCTGAAGTGTTACCATCATCTGCGAAGTGAAATCATTGTACATTTATTTCCTTTTATGAATTCGAATCGAGGGAGCAAGATAGTCATTGCAGAATAAAAATGTCACCATCATTTATTTCGTTGCCTCTGAGCTGTAAGCAGATGACGATAAGCCCAATAAATAAAAGATGGTACATTTTTATTCTGCAAAAACTATTGTTCTTACTTTATTCAAACTCATTGTACTCAGACAGTATTAAAAGAAAATACATAAATACGAAAATACAGTCGAAGGAAACTCATTGGTGAATATTACCACAGTTTTATGCTTTATTTTAATTACAAAAGTTCGAATAAATAACTGGTGAATCAGTAAACATAGTATTAGGTTCATGAATAGAACTACATTTGAGTTTATGAATCGTAAGATGGAAATGCGCTTGTTTACAAAACTCCAGGTTCATTCTACTAAACCTCATTTATTCGAGAGACTACTTCTTCAATAACCTAAACAGTAGTCAGCCTTTCCATCGTCAGTTAACCGATACTCAAACACGCAAGACTTTCGTCATCCAGTAGTTTTAAACGACTGATCGTAGGGACGAAACTTCAACTATTTGCGATTTTGTAGCCCAATATGCCTAGATAACGGAGTAAAAAACTAGATAGACTTAAGTGTGCTGCTGACTGCTGCTTTCACAAGAACCCACAACTATTAAATGTTGTTCTCAAAACTACTTCAACTCACCAGACCAGCAAACAACTAGAAAACTTTTTGTTAACTTGAGCAGCAGAGACTAAGGAATTACAAAGATGTACGGCAAATGGGAAATGAGGAATGTGGGCACGGCATCATTCCGCTGGTCAAAATTCTCTCAACAAATAACCAGTGTCAACTAACATTACGGCATGCACTTATTTTGTGTTTTTTTTCACTTCAAACAGAAATCCTGAGACTTGAACGCTTATATCAAAGTAAATGGGCGAAGGATTTTATCGAATGTAAGTCTCGTCATTCACACATTCGATTCTTTTATTTTCCTGAAATGATCTGTATGTTGAATTAAGGCGTGAATTTTCACTGAAGTTAAAAATGCTAGATTATTAGTTGAAATGAATTGCAGTATCAATGGAGATGACTAAAGGAATTCAACCACCCCACAAACAAATAATTAAAAGTAGTATTCCGGAGAGTGACCTCGAGATGTCGGTAGCACAGAAAATTCCCTCAACAAAATGGTCTGCAAACTTTTTTGAAGAAACTTCATATTGAGGAATGCATTTCACGTGCACATTTTGCAAAGTAATCCAGTAAACATCTTCCCAATACGCATAGCAGTCAATACTGAATTAAACATAAAATGTGACAACATCGGGCCATCTTCAGAACGAATGCCATTGATTCACCTTTCAATATCATTTTCAATGCAGAAACAATAAGTTCAGACGGATAAGTTATATAATGCCTCGAATAAGTTGCCACGTTTAAAAGCAAACAGCTTCTTTTTTCGCTTGGCCTTGTTTATATTCTCACGTCTGACAAACCCTCAGTATGCATTTCATGTTTTCCTACTCTCCCCTTCTTATTATGCTTCCGAGTACAAGTAAATAAGAACCCAAAACTTATCTCCCTTTTTACAGCAATCGGTATGGAAGATGAGAATCTCGTGAATCTTTATAATGGTAGGTTATTCCATCGTGCATGAGACACACTCTTTTGGTATTTGAAGACAAAACCACCATGTTACTGTTTGTGGGATGAACGTCAGCTTGAAATCATTTGGTGTGACAGTTTTCATCAGAGGTGTTCATATAAATTTTTATTTGACAACACTAACAAGTGAAGCCACTATCGCTAGGCTATACGAATACAATTTATCCACTTAATGAAGAATTGTCAAACCGGTCGTCAACTCAATGAAGAGTGATGTGGTATTCAGTAGTGAAAAGATTTCCTCCATCATCCACTTTCTCTACAGTGTCCTCTTCAACATAAGCTTGTTCAATGCATGCATGATACAGTGAAAGAGGATGCATCATTGATAACATTCCGAACATAATTTATAATCCAGAGATATGTCAAGTTCATTTACATGGTTTGGAAACCTGATTATAGAGTTCTTTTTTTATTTTTATAAAGTGTCAAACGGTTGAATAAATCCACAGTTATTCAGTTACATTATAAAATTTCTAGTGTTATTTGTTCTCTCTGTTTCTGGGTGAACCATCGAAGTGCTCAATTCCAAAGGTATCTTTGAATGGTTCAGTCCAGAACAACAACATAGTAATAATATAGGTGAAAGTAGACGGCTTTCTCTTACATTCAGGTGATTAAATGAATTTTAGATGGTGTGTCATTTCTAATGTGGCATTATCATATGCTTGTTGAATGAGATGTATCAGAGTATGCAGCACTTAGCAATGTTAGTAAGGGAAACAAGTTGTTTCATGGTCGACACTGCCGAAAGTATTCGTAAGTTTTATAAGGATGAGGAAACCAAATGACAGCCACTCCAGCCTATGTCCGATGATGATTCGCAGTTGTGCAATCACACTCGTTATTGATCCCAGAGGCAACATTCATTAGTGATATGTGTTGAGACAGAATGACTTTCAGATTATTATGAAGATTTAATACTGTTAAAAATGTCGTCTGTTTATAAATGAACTCAATTCACATTTTCCTACTGTTGCAGTTTACAAATACACAGTGTAGATTTTTGGCTATTTGAGGAATTAATTATGTACCGAAAAATGCTTCTTTTCTCTGTAGATGAATACAAGAAGGCATTGGAAGAAGATAAAGCTTTTAATTATGAAGTTATTGGTATGACTGGTATTTTTTAACCAGCATTTATAATACCGCTTAAACTGAAATTCATTACAGTTAATCATTGCTCCTTTGGGTTCCGAGTAAAACACAGGACTTAACCAACACATCTCGTCTACGTTTTACTTTCCGTCATTTCCTTCAACTGGGTCCACGATTGCCTATAATTTGTCACCTCCCCCTCACAAAATCTCCTCTATTTCATCTTAGGACGACCAACCCGTCTCTTCTCATTGGAATTTAACTGGAGAGACTGCCCAACGCATGATGTCATCCAACGGGCTCGTCATTGTGTGCCTTATCCATCTTCATTTTCTTCTACACATCTGTTGAGCTATCAGCTCTTGTTTGGCTTGTTCCCAGCCAGAGTGTTTTGTTGCTAATTCTTTCTGGTTGACCATTTGATTTTCATTTTGGGGCTAGAGAAGCCAGCTGTTGCTAAATGTCTGTGACTAGTTTAAAATACTTTTCGTTACACGTCAAGTTTCTGATCCGTATAGAGGGACCGATTCGGCATTGGCGTAGAAAATGTGAATCTTGTTCTATATGTTCTATATGAAGATCTCCAAACTGGTTTTAGGTTGACGAAAGTGAATGTCGCCTTTCAGATTCTGGTTGGCTGACTTTGACATCTTCATCCATTGCGTATGTGGTTGAAACTATGCTTCCTAGCCAGATAAGTGAAGGAAGTCATGACTGAAGATCTCCTCGTTTGATGGTGATTGGTGCTGATTGTTGTTGTTGCTACTATCCGTTGATTATCTTCATCACCTCCATTGTTTCTGTGTTCACCTGGGATCTAGACTTCTACCCTGCCACTTCTGTAGTTTTTTGCTTTTTTCGACCGTAAATCGTAAAGATAGTGTGACATTATACATTTATCATATAAGAAATCTACAGCTTCTTGTGTGTTCTAATCGCAGGTCCAGCTTTTTACTGTCTTCTCACTCTTAATCAGAGTCTGACGCAAAATCCAGCTAAACGCAATTAGGAATTTCACTGGTGATAATAGGTACCCAGCTTTTCTTAATCCTGTATTCACTTCGAACGCCTCACTCAGTTTTCTGTTGTGGATCACATGACAAGTGGCATTGTCATATAGCCAGCAGTTGATTAACGTTGATAAAGTTTTGAAAACGGCACACCGTAGTATTAAAGTAGTTTCCAAATTATTTCTCGGTCAACGCCAGACTTTCGAAGGTGATTTTAAGTCAATGTAGGGTGTTAAAGTAGAGGTTCGACTGTCATTCTATGCTTTGTTCAATGACGATGTGTAGACGTGCGATTTGACCAGCAAATGATAAACCTTTGCTGAATCCGGCTTGACTTGGTGAATAGCGGAGTTCTGTAACCAGTGCATCGTTTAATCTCTTCAAGATGATGTAACTTGGTAGTTCTACTTGGCGTGGACAACAGCATCAGTCCCTCTCAGATCTTGCAGAGGCCTCAGTCGTGCTTCTTGGGCAGTTTGACGAGGTAGCTTTTCTTTCAATCAGCAGGTGCTATTCCTTCCTTACAAATTGTTTGTAATAATGGCATGAGAAATTCTGCTGCAGTCTCTGGGTCCATTTGCAGTGCTTCTGGAAGTGTTTCGTCTAGTCATGTTGCCTTCCCGATTGGATTTCAGTAGCTTTATCGCATTCAGGACTTCTGCTTTTGTTGTAGGACTGGTGTCCACTTGTAGGCAGCTCCGTGCTTGTTGTCAGTGGTGGCACTATTTCTTGGCGAGTTGCAGGTGACAGACGATTCAATAGTCCTTCAAAATGATCAGCCTATCATTTTGTTTGCTTCTCCTCCTTCGTAATCATGTTCCTTTGATCAGCTTTTATTGGGTTGATCTTTACCCAAATAGAAACCTGCTTACAATCTGATATAATGTTCTGCGGTATCTTCTAACTGCGCAATATTTATTCTGCTTCATTTGCAAGCCAGTGTGTCGAGTAAATTGCCTTCTGTCTTTTCCTGCACTCTTTTTCAATTTCTTATTCAGTGCAGTGCACAATGAACACAAAGTCTCCTTATGCTTTCCGTTTTTTCGCATTGAGTCATCTTCCTTTTCACCAACCTACTCTCCTCTCTTCCATTAGCTTCCAGGTAGGTGTCCGTTGAGAGCCATTCTTTGTATTTTTCTTCCTTCTGCCTAGAACATTTGTACGTGTTTCCTTGACCACTGCCTTCCAGTTCGCTTTCTTACAGGTTTCCCCAGTGATGCTAGTTGGTGTCTCAAATCTGTAGTTAGGGCGTCCATACTATTTTTTCCTTCAGTTTCTGAATTTTGAACTTGAATCACAGTGGCCTATCTCCAGTTATTCTGTGGGATTTCAGATTCACTTTGAAGTAAGTAATTGTCTGAGCCCTCATATGCTCCCCTTCTCGAATTTGTATCCAGCAGGCTGGCTGCGTATCCACTTCCTTCAGCAGTATTGAGATGAAGTTTATCTGGTTTGTGGTCCATCCACTTTGCTTTGTGTGTTTCCTTGTATTTGTATACGCCTGCTTCATTCACCATATCATAAGGAGCGCAGAGGTCTGCGAATAGTTCCCTGTTCTCATTCATTTCTCCGGTTACCAATATCTCCGTCTATCGTGAATTCTCTCCTATGTTGATCTCACTTCTCCAATAAACTGTTTTAAGCTAAATCCCATAAGGATAAATCCGACCACCATTAAGATATTTCTTACCAAAATAGACCGCTCTCTTCTTTGTTCCTAATACTGATTTCTTACTAAGATCCAATGTTACGAGAAATCACATTCCAGTGATATTCAGAAGATCTACGGGTTATTTGTTTATTGATGGATGACATTATCTTATCCACTGATGATGACTTTCACAGTTCGCATATGTAAAGTAATCTTGTGCCCTACTCTACCTCAGAAACCTGACCACATTCACAATGTGTTATGCATGGCTTAGGTGAATTCAATGGTCTGTACTTGGTACTATGATGAAATCTATTGGATGCCTTAAAATGAGTCATACTAAGACATCCAGATTGATTACCACTGTCATTATGTTCGAGGATCATTACGCAGCTCAAATAAACATCTGTTCAAATCTGACAAAGCTTATGAGTAATAAGTATGCCTTCTGAATTTATTCCTTCAGCTAATCAAAGACGATACCATCAGTTGAAAATGCATATTTCAAGAAAATGGGAAAATCGAAAAAATCTCGATATTGCAGAAGGTAAACATTTTATGATTCCACTATTTAGAAAGGTAGTTGGTTATTTTATACTTTGTAAGAAAGTAATTCTTCTTCGGTAATTAGGTGGAGTGCGTGAAGCCACAAAAACTTCTCATTTTTACAGAAGACCTACCACAACACATCGAATTGCGATATTTCGTCTTAAACATCACACTCATGAGTGTGAATTCTGACCAATCGAGCGAGAAATCGTGATAAATCACTTACTGGTGGTTCTAAATTCAATCTTGCATGAATTAGTGGCGTTGCATGAGAAAACGACTTTCTGATGGAGTGTTCTGCACTTTCTATTGATTGGTCTCACTGATTTATATTCACGATCGTGTGTATTTTAAGGCTTCTTGAATGTTCGCAATTTTCTCATCAGCACTGTTATTCACACTTGATAGAGAATGATGAGAATATTTTGCGGTGACGCGCTACGTAAATAACAGAAAGTAGTTTATGCAATAAGCGACAGTAGGCAAACACCATCCATGTATTCACTTAGTCATATTTTGTCATTAGAATCAGTTGAAAACCGACTATTTTCCATCTGTATGTGAGTGACAATACACGTACTCGAAGGTTTGATAGCATTTTCTAATTAGGCTTTTTACTTGGTAAGTAAGTTAATTGTGGTGTCATTAGTATTGAAGTCAGCTGAATCCATCTTTAAATAAATTGATTATGATAATGCTGGATTCATCATATACCAGGAAGTTTGATGACCATCTTATGTATCAATTGCAGACACATTTTTTGAAGAGATATCAGGCATTTTGAAGAAAGACGAAGGTTAGTTTTTTCACTTTGAAATTCATCTTTCGTAACTTATTATTATTATTATTGTTCCCTTGGGTTCCTAGTGGAACATAGGGCTTCAACTGCACGTCTCCACTTGCTTCTGTCTTGTGCTGTACTTTTCACCTGCGTCCATGTTATTCCATACTGTTTCATCTCCTCCTCACATGATCTCCATGTCACCCTTGGACGTCCCACTCGCCGCTTTCCCTTCGGGTTCCACTCGAGGGCTTGACGCGCGATGTCACTCGACGGCCTCCTCAGCGAGTGTCCAATCCATCTCCACTTCCTCCTGCATATTTGTTGGGCGATTGGTTCCTGTTTCGTTTGTTCCCATAGCTTCTTGTTTGTGATTCTTTCTGGCCATCTAATCTTCAGTATGGAGCGAAGACAGTTGTTGATAAAGGTCTGCAACCTGTTGAAAATATTTTTGGTGACTCGCCAAGTCTCTGATCCGTAAAGCAAAATTGACTTCACGTTTGTATTGAAAATCCGAATTTTGTTGTTGATGGTGAGTGACGAAGATTTCCAGATTGGTTTCAGGTTGATGAATGTGTTTCTCGCCTTCCCGATTCTCGATTTGACATCCTCGTCCGTTCCTCCTGTAGTTGAGACAATGCTCCTCAGATAATTGAAAGAAGTAACCTCTTTCAAATCCCTCCCGTTGATGGTGATTGCCACTGGATGTTGCTGCTGTTGTTGGTTGGTTATTTTCATGACCTCTGTCTTGTCTATGTTCACCTGGAGTCCTGTCTTTGCTGCTTCTTCGACCAGTTTGTCGGTTTTTGCTTGTAAGTCTTCGATTTTGTGTGACATCAAACATAAATCATCCACGCGCGAAATCCAGGTCTTCTAGGTTCTTCACGTCGGTCCAGGATATCCCTGTCTTCTCGTTTCCCACTGTCTGACGCATAATCCAGTCCACCACAATTAGGAATATCATTGGTGACAATAAGCACCCTTGTCTGACTCCTGTGTTTACTCCAAACGCTTCGCTGAGTTTCCCGTTGTGGATCACTTGACATGTGCCGTTGTCGTACAGTTGTTGAATAAGGTTGATGAATATTTGGGGTACGCCGTAGTACTCGAGGAGTTTCCAAATTACTTCGTGGTCAACGCTGTCGAAGGCCTTCTCAAAGTCTATGAAGTTGAGGTAGAGATTTGATTGCCATTCCATGCTTTGTTCGATGATGATGCGTAGAGTTGCAATTTGGTCAGAACCTGATTTGCCTTTCCTGAATCCAGCTTGTTCTGGTCGGAGTTCTGTATCCAGTGCGTCCTTTATTCTCTCCAGGATGATGCGACTCAGGATTTTACTTGGCGTCGACAGGAGCATGATTCCTCGCCAGTTCTTGCAGAGTCCCAGGTCGCCCTTCTTTATTAGTTTCACCAGGTAACCTTTCCTCCAGTCAGTAGGCACCTTTCCCTCTTTCCAGATCTTTTGCAATAATGGAGTCAGCATATCTGCCGTCGTTTCTGGGTCTGCTTTTAGTGCTTCCGGGGGTATTCCATCTGGTCCAGCTGCTTTCAGAAGCTTGATTGCATTCATGACTTCAGTTTTCGTTGGAGGATTGGTGTCAACTTGCAGTTGTGTACGTGCTGTTGTTGGTATTTCCGGACGGCTTGTAGGTGGTGGTCGATTCAAGAGTCCTTTGAAGTGGTCCGCCCATTGTTTAATCTGTCTTTCTTCTTTGGTAATTGGGTTCCCTTGGTTTCACTTGAGTTGATCTCTTCCCGGATAGAGACTTGGTTATCTGATATAGTGTCCTCAGGTCCTTTTTGCCTGCTGCCTTCTCAGCTTCAGTAGCCAGGTTGTCGTAGAATTGTCTTTTGTCCTTCCTGGCATTCTTCTTCACTTCTTTGTCCAGTGCTGTGTAAGTTGAACACAGCTTCTCATTCTCGTGTCTATCTTTGCATTGAATCATTTTTTCTTTCACCTTTCTCCCCTCCTCTATTAGTTTCCAAGTGTCTGTTGAGAGCCATTCCTTGTCTTGTTTCTTCTTTCTTCCTAAAACCGTTGAACACGTTTCGTTGAAAATCACCTTCAGAGAGTTCCAATGGTCTTCCACGGATGATTCCTCAGTGGTGCCACGCAGTGTTTCCTGCTTTGCTCTGACAGTTGCAGTGAAAATGTCCTGTGTGATTGTGTCCTTCAGTTTGTGAGTGTTGAACTTGCATTGTGTCCTATCTCCAGCTGTCCTCGAGACTTTTAGCCTCATCTTGAAAGTCCCTTGTACTAGATAGTGGTCTGAACCCACATCTGCTCCTCTCCTCGATCTTGTGTCCAGTAGGCTCCGTCTCCACTTCCTTGAGATTGAAATGAAGTCTATCTGGTTTTTGGTGTGTCCATCTGGTGAAATCCATGTTGCCTTGTGTATATCCCTGTGTTTGAACACACTGCCACCAATTACCAAATCATTGAAGGCGCAGAAGTCTGAGAAGAGTTCGCCATTTTCGTTCATTTCACCGAGGGCCTCACGGCCCATGGTGAGTTCTCTTCTTGTATTGTCTCCTCCCAGTTTCGCATTCATGTCGCCCATCAGGATTTTGATATCGCTCTTTGGGACGTTGTCCATTACTGTTTGTAGTTGACTGTAGAAATCCTCCTTCTTCTCATGTTCTGAGGCGTTTGTAGGCGCGTAGCATTGAATGATTGTAACCTTCCTTCCTTTTGAGTTGAACCTGGCTGTCATTATCCTGGAGGAGATTGGTTCCCACTGCATGACAGCTTTAGCCGCTGTTGGTGACATCATGATGGCTACTCCCTCGGTGTGCTCGTGATTGTCCTCTGGGTGACCGGAGTAGATTATTGTCTCTCCAGTTGATAGTTTGCTCCTTCCACATCCGTTCCATCTGCTCTCGCAGATTCCCAACACTTCTATTTTATATCTCCTCATTTCTGCGGCTACCTGAGCAGCCTTCCCAGCTTCGTACATTGTACTAACATTCCACGCCCTCATCCTTATTTTCGCTTTCATCGAAAGAAGGCACATCGGCTGACTGGCTTCCCGAAGGCTTTCACCAGCCCGCGTCATTTCACTTCCCCGATTCCAGCGAAAAATAAGGTCATTGTTTGTATTTGTAGAATTTTGAATATATTTGTGCGTTGAAGTTTTAGTAGCAATTTGGTTAAGTTTTGGGGGTGGAGTTGCTAGCACCACGCCTTAACCCTCCCTCTTTATCCGGGCTTGGGACCGGCTAGAATACTAGTGACCTAGTAATCTAGGCGAGGTTTTCGTAACTTATTAACTGTGCAGTAATATCTGTCGTCATTTTGTGATTAGTAGTTAGTCTGATCTAATTAATATACATATTAACAATTCTACTGTAATGTGGTGATACTTATTCGTAACAAACCATGTCTGACTATCCTTTATGACAGTCAGATACACCAGCTAGTTGAATGACTGACTAAATTCTGTAGTTGTTTGAATATGTGGTTAGGCTGTATCTACGCACGCAAACACTATGTCTGCTCAAATTCATTTTGTATCAGCATATTCAATACTGACACATAAAACACCTCTATCACAATATCGAACTCTACATAGGTGGATTTCGATCGGAACTCTATTCACAGGAAGATGATCTTGATGAGTACTATTTGATCAAATTTATGACAATGAAAACTACTGTCCATCACTAAGTGTTTATTTTTGATTGGGTATCTTCAAATTACCATATTGTGTACACCTTATGTTCAAATGACTATTTGTACAGATCTTCCGTTTTGTTCCACTTCTCTCCTTTATATTGTATTTCTTCGTATTCTTATCACGTCTCTCATGTTTTACCAATACGCTGAATGATTTGCTTTCTTTGACATCAAATCTATCTCCCTGCTCTTTAATGTTCTTATGCCGATTAATGGCTCTTCATATTTTACTGATACATTTTATCAGTAGAGCACGCCACTTCAGTCAATAACATGCAAACCCCCTAAAAATGTAACATTTCCTTATAAATGCAACTTGTATTGTGAGAAACCATTGACGCGATTATTCATTCAATGATTTCACAAATTGTTGTATGAAAGTTAAATATTCTATGCAAACGATTATTGTTCTATAATGGACAAAGCTAATTTAACATTGAAAATACACACAAATGCAGTATGAATGCAGTTTACACCTAGTGAAAGCATTTGTTTTACTGATATCAGTAAACACCTTGAAAAGTCATGTGGTAATTAGGACATTATCAATAGGATAACCATAAAATTGTGATAGTCAGAAGCCATTGCGTGAATACTATCACTTCACGTTGAAGAATACACAATGAAACATTTCATACGTTTCGATATTGTGAAATTATAGTACAAATTGAACTGACAAAGAAGGACTTGATGGAAGCGAAAAAAGCAGTGAATGCATCCAAAGGTAAAAGGATTCTGTAAATTCATATTGCACACTACGTTCATGAATAATAAAATTTTAGTATGAAAATTCACCAGTCATTTTGTTAACAGATAGTCATTAGGTGCCCTATTTACTCATCAATAACAGGCACATTAACTAGTTTTTATTAGATATCTTTTTCCCCACCAGTACAATAACCTCTCAGAAATAATCGGAAGGCCAGTTTTTCCACCAGTTAAACGTCCCTCTTTTTCTGAGGAGTGGACTAAACTTTTGAAAGCTGATATATTCACTGTGTGGTGAGAAAGAACGCGTTGAGAAATAATCAAATTATCATGACACGTTTTCGGATCGTCAATATGTTGTATTCAGTATGATGATAAACATGCCAACGTAGTTTCTAGATTAACGTTTTAAACATCATTCAACACTTCTTGTTTTTTAGCTAAACTTAAATGGTTGGAAACAGCAGCAGTCACCGCAACTAATGCATACAGAAATAGTTCAAGTGAGTGAATACATTCATCAATTTTATTAGTTAACTGTAAAGCACAATGAATCTATGGACAGGCCTAATACGATTCACCGTTGGATGAATTTAGTAATGATAATGTGTAATACTTAGGCGTGTTTAATTAACCGTCAGCACGCACATAATTTTCCACACTTGTTAAATAGTTTCCAGTCAACTGTCAGAATGACGTAAAACTAAGATCGACTTGCACTTTGATTTACATTGAAAGCAGACAGAAGAGTAAATCAAGAGTCTATCCTCTCAAAATATTGTTGTGATAATTATAGTGAAGATGACATTGACTGTAGAAGTGGAATTGAATGCACTGTCATAGAATATAATTCTATATCAGATCAGTTCGTTGAATATAACACAAAGTGTCATAGTATTAAAAACTGAATGATGTTTCTAGGGCAATTTATCTCGTATAATCGTATCATATTATTGTGTAATCATTACTTAGCCTATTTGCGAAGATGGAATAAGGAAGCATCAACAAATGGTGAGTGAACAGTTTTTCCCTGCTTGAAATATTTCAAAGGTAAAATTTTATTCATCACTAAGCTCCATGAGACTCATCTTCGATTGAAGATAATGACATTCCTACAACAAGAAACTTCAGATTTTCACGTTTAACAGAGAATGGCATCATCATAATTGCATTACAGCGAAAAATAATGAAAATTTTGATCGTCAGGAAGCCATCGTCGAATAAAGGATGAACAAATACAAACAAAACTTTAGTTAATATTTTGAAATGGCAGAGACTTGTTCTTGAATGTCTCCAGTTTGAAGATCATCTGAAGTTAAATTCGACAGACCAATCAGACGATTAGTTGATGTATGTATTTACTCACTAATTGAAAATACAAAGTGCGCAAATTACTTACACGTATCTATTTCTATACTGAGTGTATTTGTATGAAGTATTTCTCTTCAATATCTTCAAGTACATATGCAACTATCAATTTGGTAACGGGTCATTATTCCTTTCAGACTCATTGAATGATGCTAAAATTACACAAGTGTATTGGGAAGCTCGTACTGATTTTGCCGACGGCACAGGTAATTTTTTTTTATTCGATCAGATTTCATATTTAATAGTTATAGTGATGACTGCACTTCTAAGAGAATTCCATTTTCGTAAAAGAGACAGAAGTGGCTAATGATGTGTATATTATCAAGTTGTCTTCTTCCTTAATTCCACATTTGGCTATATTATTGACAAAATTAGCAATAATACTGGTCACGCTTAAATTGGAATCTGCAAACTGTTGGACAGTTAGTGAGAATCAGGTCTGAAATATCTAAGCACAAAAGCGTCGAATCTACTGCTCATATTATCGAAACACGCAAAAGTATACCGATAAAGCTTCATTGACTTCATCAATACATCACAGAATAAAGCTAGAAACGTTTATCACATATTTCGTGAAGTTCAGAATAACAGTTACATTGAAACTACATGACATGATCGAGCATAATGAGATGTGGGCTTAATTTCAGACTAATGCAACGTTGAACATGGTTCTTACACATCACTGAAAATCTATTCACTGTTTTAGATGAACTACGTGACAAAATAAAACTATTGGAAATGAAGAGGATTGATTTTTTTAAATGTAAGTTGAAATACTGAAATCATTTAGAATTGGTTAGTTCAAAACCTAGAAGATAGAATAAACTGGCTCCTGACTGAAATGGAGGAAGATGCCAAGCAGTAATAATGAAGTGAGTTCCTATTTAGATCCTCAGCGTATTTTTAGTTTCTAACTGACTGCACAGGTGAATATGAACGTGAAGATGGGTTTTGCTGTTAGCTAAAATCAGCTATATGAATGCTTGAGAAATAAATAACATTGAAATTTTCTCCACTCTCATTTCTTGTTTACTCATCAGTTTACAAGCATGTCATAACTCACCTACTGGCTGACTGGTCACATGATCACAGTCGGCGGCTGTGCACAATATCACATCTGTAACACCTGCTGAGAGCGTCGTATATTCAAGTGGTGCTTCACATAGCCAATTTCCTGTGAGAGGAATTATAATTCGGAACCAACCAGATAATGTACACATCTATTCTGTGTTTCAATTGTCACAGAAAGTACTACCTTAAGACTAGTGTCATTGTTGGTTAGACAAAAAACTGTCAACAATAATCCTGCTATACAAGAGACATGTCTATTCTCAACTCATTTGTACTTTGCTTTTGGTTTCATTTTATTTCAGCTGCGGGGAAGGGAATTCGATACCAAGGGAATTCAAGCGATATTGATGAAGGGAATACATTGTTTGCTTATCACTTTTTTGTTTAATTAAATATAATATTTTTCCTTAAGATTTCGTTTCAGTTGACGTTTTCTTTCTTACTAGTAGAGTGCGTTATGTGAGAATGAAGTGGCTGGTTTTAAAAAAGTAGACTAAACTCGTATGCACAACTTAGGGATTATTGTGTTTGGCTAACGAAGTGTATTGTGTACCCGAGAGGAATGGTCAATGATGAGAAGTGTCAATGTTTACCAAAGACTAAAAAGCACGTATATGCACAAAGAAATGCAATCCATATTTTAAAGTTATGTGATACTAACATTTCCAGGAAATACAATAGGAAAGTTGACTTGTGAAGGCTTTTAGCACGTGGGTTGGTTGACTTTAGGTTATTTTGTTAACCACAGTGTACAATATAATATAATACATAATATAAATTCTCAGTCACAATATGCGTCATTCAAATGCGGCAAATTCGTCATCCATGTTATGAAAAAATGTCATGGTCTGAGAATGACAGAATTAAAAGCCTCATTTAATATATCATGTATATAAGGCAACATTATGTTTTGAGAGGTCTTGTTTCCGCTATAAAAAAAATTCTCAAATATTGTAATGTATACAAAATAACATTCAATATCAAAAAGTTATTCACATTTCTCAGATGTTTTAAGCAGTACAAAGATTAACGTGAATGTTGTGTAAACGAAATTGTGCATGCTAAACGCAGACTCTGTTAACAAGATACTGAATGATCTACATAATTCATAGATTCGACCATTATAGCACAGCCGAGTTGTAGAGATGTCGCCTTCTGCAAAAGCGACATATGGAATGGACAACAAGATGATGTGCACATCAATGTGTTGATAGGATTTTCAATCGTGAAACTCAACTCTCGTCCTTGCCAGTCAAAATCTCAAAACACTTTGACGGAATGATTTCCCTGGAAATCGTTCATGTCACAGGACATGATACAGCAAGTTCATGCGTGTGTCTATCTGACTGTTTGTCTCTCATTCCTTCTATGTGTGTTCGTGTGTGTGTTTATTTATGTCAGTGGTATGATGATGAATTTGTCAAATTAATGAATGGATGAGTAGAGTGGTAATCGGATGATTGCACACAAATGTGAATAAGTCAATATTTACATGTGTTCGTTGTTAAGTGATTGCTGAGTGCATGCTTTCCATCATCATGAAACTGCTCATATATTAATCTGTGAGAGAGTGATAGACAGAGAGAGCTAGCGAGATATAGAGCGAAACAGCGAGAATGAGAGACTTGAGAATGCTTTGAGTGGATGGTGGAAATTTACTTGTTCCTTGATTATCCCGGTGATGATGAAATGGTGTGCTTGTTTTTCGAGTAAATGTGTCACTGATTGTGTATGAATTGTATATACGTAAGCCTTCAGATGCTGATGGATATTTATGAGACGCGGTGTACATTAGTCAGTAGTCAATGAGTCAAGCAGTCTGGCAGTCAGACAGTCACCTCATGGAGTGAGAACTTATGAACAGGAAAGTGGATGACAAGATTGGTCAAGTGATGAAGGCCAGTGCTGACTATAGAAAGCATTGATTTCTGCCAGTCAAGTCTGTATCATCTCTCACCATTCCATGATAGTAGAATTTTTTGCGTGATGAAATCAAACACAGATACAGTATTACTTAATTAATTACTGTGTGCTAGTATCATCATATGAATTTCTTCTTTGCATGATGGAATCTAATTGTACTGTACCACACTGTGTGCATAGGCTCTACTCTCCTCAAATGTACTATGACTGCCTAATAGTTATTGTGATTTGAGACTTGAGTGCATTTTGATACTTCGCTGTCATCTCATGTTAACAAGGTGGTGACTGCAATCGATCAGACGGGCAAGATAAGCTGATGGGAGAATTGATGACTTCGCAGTAATTGAGTTCGTCAGCTTTCCGATGAATGCATGGATGGATGGATGAATATTCATTCAGAATAGATGACGAGAGATGAGGTGAGGTGATTTTCAGCTCATTAGTGTCTGTCCGGTGAAGGCATTCAGTGAATTGACACAAGATACACAACATTGTGAAGACACCAAGAAAAGTGGATAGAGATGGTGAGTTGAGAAATCTTCTATTCACCATTAGTGGAGATCCAGATATCACGAAATTGTAGGACCACCGTTCTACCATAAGAAACGACAGTCAAAGGAGTCTACCTCTCCAGAAACGAATACTGACAACTAGTTCACATATGATGTGGATAATGGAAAAATAGTGAGATAAACGGAGAAAGCGGAGGGGAGTGTGAGAAAGAGGGTACAGAAAGAAGGAACAGAGGAAGATAAACAAAATGTGTTTGTGAAGGAGAGACAGCGTGATGAATTGACACATCGAAATGTGATGAGCGTGGGTGATTGTGTGATTCACTGTGTGCGTGCGTGTGTGTAATGACGGCCAACGCACTACTTTACTCAGAACAAAATATTTTGAGCGAACAGTTGTTTTCAATGAATTCTTCTTCAGGCTCTACAATTATAAATCCATTAATTTAAGCATGCAATAGTCAGTAAAGGCAAATTAGAATCATATCAGAAAGTGTATTGTGGAACAAGTATAAGGTAGGATGGAACGATAGTCAGATCGTTTTTTAATATGTATGGTCAATGAGAACATGGGACAAAATCAGATAAAGTAATTTAATTTAATGATGTGTATGTATTTATATAAATATAGTCAACAGAAAATACAATTTTGGAGGATGAGTGTAATCAGGGTGTGTGAGACAATATGAAAACAAACCAACGAATAGGGTGGACAAGATATTAGTTCAAGGTTGAAAATAACGACAATGACAATGATTGTAAAATAATAACGATGGTATGGTGTAAAATTACGAGCAATATTGGTGAGTGATTGTCAAATAATAATAATGAATATCACCGAAAATACCCATTGAGTCATGAAGAAAATAAAAGACAGATTCAGCGAAGAAAATTTTCTTTATCGACGAAATCATCTTCAGAGGCTGTACAATCGTATTTATACTTACAAAAATATACAGTGGTCTATTATTGAGTAATAGGGGGTGACATAATTGGTATAATTACTCAGAAGTGGCTTTAGAAGTGAAAATTAGAAGTTGAAAATTACGTGGTACTCAAGGACAGAAAGATAGAAATTTGATAAGGTTAAAATTGCTATTAAGTGAGAATAAAGGTATCTGAGTGTCAATTTAACAAGTGTGAAGAGGGTGTGAAAATATACAAAAGGAGCATATGAGAGTGATAATAGTGAATTAATTATTAAAGCAAAAGCTAACTTAAAGTGAAATTAGAATGAAAAGAAAAAATCAAAAAATATTTTATCTACAAGGAACGATTAGTGAAGAGGTTAAGACCAAGGTAGAATAAGAGACTGGTCGAACTTTTTCTGTATACAGAGTTCAGGGTTGTATTGATGTATCGCTAGAGCCTCCACCATACACAAAAGCCGAAACCTGACGCCCTTTGTACCATTTGGCTTCACTTTGTAGATGATCTTGAAAGACGATTCTGGTGGAGCTACGTGGCCTGAGTTCACCAAATGCTCGAGAATTGAGCTAGTAATTGTCTTGCATTGTCCCTTTGCTAACCATGCCGGATAATGCTCAGAGATGCGTTTGGAAAGCGTGCGCTTTGTGCGGCCAATATAACTAGCTCCATACGAGCAAGTGAATTTATAAACACACATTGAGGTGGCCCAAAGCGGCAGTTTATCCTTCACACACCCTTTGATCATTTGTCGGCTGTAGAAGTTGATACGTAGCTCAGCCATGAAGAAGGCTTTCCTCAGTGATCTGCATAAGCATAATGAAGTGGAATGAACAGGATTTTGTAAATACGATAGCAAGTTAGAAAAGCAATACTTAAACCTAAGGTTAATAAAATCATAAGAAAGGTCATGAAATCAAAAAAGTCGAAAATGAAACACAGAAATAGAAGAAGGAAAGAAAAGAAAATTGTGAAAGGAATTTATAGTGTTAATAGAGGATTTGTTGGCTTTATTGTAGGCCAAGGTAAACATAGTGGTTGAACATACTTCTTCCGTATGCAAAGAGATGGTCTTCTGGTATTAATTGCAGCCGTTCCAGCTATTCATAGAAGAGGTAGTCGAGCTCCTCTAGTTAAATTACTAGGAACGCGGTAAATAACTGAGAACGCCTGGTCAAGTTTTATCGGGTGTCCAGTATCTACCAAGTGAGCTAAAACTGTACTATTTACGCATTTGGTTACTCCTTCACTCAGGCATACAGGTATATGTTCACGCGCGTGCATGGATGAAGCCCTTCGAGTACGGCCAATGTAACTAGCTCAATATCAGTAGTTGAATTCATAGAT